AAACATTACAGCGATATCGGTCGAGTGTAATAGAATCGTTGGGGAAAAGACTCTCCTCTGGTAATTCTCAAATTCGATGTCGTTTCAGCGAGAAAACGACCAAGGCGATATAGGCGAACGGGAGGAAAAAGAAAGAAAAAACGGAGGGAACGACGACGAGGGTAGAGATCCTGCGCGAATTTGAATTACCCGCCCCTACGTCGATGACTAGCGGCGGTTAACCTCGTTATACAGACGGTTCGACGTACGAGAAAATTGAGAAACTGACCTATATAGTATTTCGAGGGGAACAACTGACATTGATATTATTCTTGGAAAAGAGAATGTAACGAAGTGGTACAATGAAAAGCGTACGTAAGTAGAAATAAGTTTTTTTTGCAGGTTAGACTGTGAATTAATTGACGACCTATGAATCTGATTGATCGATTTTTCTTTCGCGGTGTACTTTACGTTCTGATAAATAATCGTTAAGAAACGTAGAAAGAAATACAACATCGTATAAATACAAATTTCTCTCGTGATTTTCGATTTCTTTAAATGTGTAACTTAGAGAACTTGGTTTTTATTACACATCTATAGATACGTGTGCAAATGGAGTATCAATTCGTCTTTTATTTCTTTAATAATAATACGTTAAACAAAATTCCTCGAGTTACCTAACCTATAAATCTTACGACGTATCTACAATTAATAACAAAGGAATAATCTTAACAATTATAAAATTCGTTTAAATTAATATCCGTCTAAATTGACGAACTCACGACGCAACTACAACACTCGTATAACTATATCTCCTTGTTCCACGCAACATATGAATTCGCTAAATAAACGGAAACGCGCCGTTAAAAACACGCCCGAAATGACCTTTCACGACCGTGTTCGTCCACGGTCTCGGCTAAACGAAGAAGCAGAAAATCTTTATTACCTTGAAACCGCCGAACTTGAGCTTCATCAAAATCCTCGGGTCATAAATTAAAAAGCGAGTTTCCCTGTGGCGAGGGATTCCGAGGCGGGCCAACGGTAGTGCCCAGGAGACATCAAAGAGAGAGTCAAAGTTATCGCCAAACGGGCGATCACGTTAAAAGTTCTGGTTCGCAGCCGGAGGCGACGTTTTCATCGGGAAAGCAAAGCCCTTCCCTTGGCCCCCGAAGGTCGTGATTAAAATTATTGCCCGACCCAAAGTCAACACGCCGCGCAAACAAAGGATAAACACATTCGCCGGACCACCAGGCTACACGGAAAAGTGGCGCGCAATTAGCATCGCAAAATATTTCTCCGCTGTACCGTTGCGTGTCGCTGGTGTCGTGTTGTTTGTAGCGCGCGCGGTCCGTTCCACAAGCGTGTTTTATATTGCTTTCCTCTGATCTCTTCGAGAGCAACAGAAAGAGAACGAGAAGGGCGAAGAACTAAAAGGCTCGCGATACTAAGCAGAGCGAGAGGACAGGGCCAGGAGAGAGCAAAGACCATAGGAAGAAGAAGAATAAGAAGAAGAGTAAAAGAGCTTTGGCGGAAAGTTGCCGCGGGCGTGCTTTGTAGTTATGGACAAGTTGCACGGCTGGTGACGAGCAAAAGAGGCAATTTGTCAGAAGAGGAGTACAACGCGTTCCCCGTGATACATTTTAGGATTGCTAGTGTGCCCGATCTCAACGATTCTCTCCGTCCTTTACTCACTCGGTTTACCTCGTCTCCGCTCGTTGGGTATGGAGTGGGGGAAAGTGCTTCTTGCCTCTGTTCCTTTCTACCGTACGTCCTCCCCGCCTTTCTCTCTCCTTCTTCCTAACCCTCGTAGGCTCTTTCTCTCACTCTTACGCCCCGAAGGTTTTTGCTCGCAAGTGACAATCGGCGTTAAAATGCGTGAATGCACTCGAAGCACGCGCTACGGGTCCCTCTCGAAAACAAACGACGGCTACGGGACGAGGAGAGCCAGTGACTTAATTAATGGAAGCGTAAGAGGAGCGTCGACAAAGTCGTCTTTGTCAAGAAGTTCGCGGGACTGGGTCAATAAAGACGCAAGATCCGTCGACTAACCGTTTCGATTGATCACGTGGCCCCGTACCATCGATCCGGTTCGACTCGTTGATCGACTCCCCGGACGGGAATCCATTAGGAATCTGAGGTTAGGATTGAGAGTAGAGTTCTCGTGATTAGAGACGCCGATTGACGGTGATTTGTCGAGTGACTGCGATTACGTTCCACGAGAATTGATCCGCGAGTTACGTGGAAGCTGACTGGAAGCTGTTACCGTGCACGTGCACGGGTATTTAAACGACGGTTTTTAGGCCGAACCGAGCTAACTCGGAAGGATGACTAAGTTATTAGACCGACTGGTTTTTGCGTTGAAACGAGTTGAACATGGGACTCGCTGTTCTTGTACACGTTATTATACGTGGAATGCGACGCGGTTTCTTGCCGGGATGTTTTTCAACAATTCGCAGACACGGTGGTTTCTATGCGTAACAGGTAGCTATTACAGTTAAGGTACTACTATTGGGGAAGTAATGAAAATTATTGGATCGTTCGGTATTTGAAATTGAGACATTCCAATATTGAATTTTCTTGCTTGTGTTGTTTACATGAAAGGAAAAGAAAAATCTTGCAAAATTTACACAACTTTTTTTTCATTCTTTCTACGTATTTCTTAATCTTATACATTTGTTTTAAGTTGAAATCAATATTTGTCAATAAATTATATTTTTTATTATCAATATAGCAGCAAAGAAAGAAATAGTCGCTTAAATTTTAGTATACGTATGTAGTTGCAGCGTATAGTAAAATTTCTTTATAAAAAGAATCTGGAAATAAAAAAGTATTCACTTTTGATATTAGCTTTCTAAACACCTGCACCTCTTTACGAATGTGTTAATTTATATATGTTCATTTAATACACCTGCTTCGGCTCATCTTCTATAATATAAACAATTTTAATCAGTGACTTGGTGTGTAACAGCTTTATACTACAGAAATATTTTTATACCGCTTTCTCCGCATTTACATTATCCGACCATCAAATCCAATTAACGCAGCCACAAAACAGGGTTCACTAAGGTCATTTCCTTACACGGTATAGAATAAGGACAAAAGTATTACTCCTCGGTAGCGCCATCTACACCTATCTATCACGTCCGAGAGCGCGAGGTTTATCATTGACCCTTGAAAATAAATAGCTTGCCCACGAAATAAGCCCGTTTATCTGCTCCCATAAATAGAAAATAGCAGTACCCGGATAAGTAGTAAAGCGACGTGGTTATACGTCGCTTCCAGACGCACCCGATCGACCAACCGATTTCTCCACAGTTATCTCGTCGATTTAATTAAATCCTGCCGCGTAAAACGTGTCACGCCAGACGCACAACTCTAATGTCGCGACGTAACGCGCGTTACGCGAGTCCCGCTAAAAGCGTTTACCACGAATTTCAAAATAATTGACAGTGGAATCGGTTGCGCATCTGTATCACGACGCATCTTCGCGTGTATCCTCATATTACACAGTATACGTATGCGTCGGCAGGGTGATTCATGGTCACGGTGAAATCATGAATAATCACTGAACAATAACGCGGGCACCGCGTATACGGGCGCATTATTCTACCCTATAGATATTCAGAGCAAAACTGATTACGACCGGGAAAATTACGCTGGCCGCGTTTATTTCCACACGGCGATTGTATAATATGTATTACAGAAAAATTCTCTCGATTATCGAGACGTTATACGACAGTCGTCGAGACACGAATGACGGGAAATTCATTTCGAACGACAATCGTACACATTTTTTTCATGAAAGACGCATTGTGAATACAATTACCGGCCGCGAGACGCGAAATCTGGTCGTTTGTGAAACACGTATCACGCGATCAACGAAAAACATTGCGTAATTATGATCGAGAAAAAAGGACGACGACGATGATAATAAGAATGCAGGATCGTTTATCACGCTTGCAACAACGTTCGTTCTCTTAATTAATATGGTAACTATCGGACGGAACAGATTCCAGGTATTAACGGTACAAACGGCGGACACGCATCCACGAGTATCTCTGGCAAAACTGACGGAATTAATTGGAAAAATGTACGGATCAATCGAGCATAGGTAATTTAACGCAAGTACCGGTACGTGTAATGACTCGGTTCAATTCAGTTTACACCTAAAACACAGTTACCCGTTGCCCGGATAACAAGCTAGACGTGGAAGTACACGACGAACGTAACGAAAGGAAACAATCGAACACACGGCCGTCGATACTGTATAAACACTTTATCATCGAAACACACAAATCCATCGTAGAGATTCGAGGTGAACGTGACACGTAACCCTGATCCCAGGATGAATTGACAGACATCGAGAACGTTTCTCGTGCAAGCATGAGCAGACATAACGGTTGTAATCGTGGCTGTCGTGTAAAAGACGAAATAGAATGCGTGAACGGGAAAAGAAGCGAGGAAAAGCAAAGTCTGCTACGGTGACACCCACCTTGCCAGTGGACCACTCCTCTTCGCTCGTTGACCCAAAATCTTCTCGACCACGGTGACATTTCCGCTTCTCGCTGCCTCCAGCAGCTCCTGGTCTTTCCCCATGGTCCATTTACACCATAATCAATGTCTAGTGTTCACTTGCACACTTGTCAATTTCTGTTTTTACTATGATTACTCGCGTTTCATTGATCCAGCGTGGCCATCTTGGCCCTACTGCACTGCCACCTCGCGGTCACTTCGCGAAACAACCTACGACGCACGGCAGTGCAACAGAGAAGGAGATGCTCGGTACCGGGGATAGATAGATGCACTGCTCGGGAACGAGATAGAACAACGGAGGCTCGAAGTATACCGCGCTCACGCAAGTAGCCGACTGTTAAGTACCAGCTGTTGCGCCGTACTGATTTTCCGTAGCTTCACGCCAACTCGGCTTTGCGGCAATTTGCTCGAATAAGTGTGTCATCCGGCTCTAACCACCGATCACTACGAGCCGCGTTTTTCTCGAGAAGTTGCCGATTTTTCTGTTGCTCGTCATAGGCTGCTCGGCCGTAGAAATGTTTTCAAATACGACGCAGCTACTAAGCGGTAAGCACATAACCTCAAAGTTCGGTAGTGCCTTCCCAGGATTGTTTTTAATTCACTTTCTCATGCCGGCTATAACAAGTTTCTCCGTTGCGAATGAATAATCACCAATGCGACTAGATCTGTATTTCCTTTTTTCTTTTTTGTTCAAGTTCGCTGACAAATGGAACGTTTAAAAATAAAAAGGTTGTAAATTATTTTCTTAATTATGTACACAGGGTGATCCATTTTAATCTATAAATGCTAATATTTCGAAAATTGCGTTGAATAGAAAAACTTGTTTTTGAAAGATTAAACGAGTTGAAAGGGAACACTGATCGTGTGATGCTAAAAGTGTCTCTTTATAGAATAAAATGTGTCACTCTGTATACGGCGAATCTTTCGTGTTGTTGATATAAACAAAATAGATAATTTCTTATTGTTAATAAGTATGTTTTCTATTTACTGTGTAAGATATTTTAATAAAAGGATAAATATTAAGCAATGTATAAAGAAATGAAATAATGTATCATTAATGTGTAAGAGAACAAAACAGCATTGATACATGTATTTTTATTCAATTAAACTTTTTTTCACATTACACTTGTGTTGAAATGTAGCTGTTGATTTTAAATATTAAACTCATTCGACGTCATGTTCATACACATACTTTTCATTTCAGCCATTTATAATTATAGTTTTTCATGTAACATGCAGGAAAACAATTACATATACTTATACCTAGAATTAACATAGTAATTGTAGTTTTTGCAAACATTTGCATTAATTCAAATTCAGTACATTGAAAAGTGAATAACAAAATCATACGTTTGAATACAGCGCACTGCTAGTCACACTAGTAAATATATTAAAACTTCAATACCATTGCAACTGAAGTGAAGTCTGAACCTCAAGCACGCAAATAAAATCTAAGTTATGGCA